AGGAAGGAAGGAAGGAAGGAAGGAAGGAAGGAAGGATGGATGGATGGATGGATTTGCTCCATGTTAAGGCTTTCAATCCAGGCGTATGATCTGCAAAACACAGCAGGGGAGAAATACAAGCTAATACCTTACCTATTTAAGTCAAACTGTTTGGCAAACAAGTCCCCTTATCTGACATTATCTGTGTCTCCCCAAAGACACAGGAAAGAAAAGATTTCCCAGACCTAGCTGACATTCCTTTCATTGGACATGTCAGGAACTTTTGGTATGTCAAACAGTTGTCCTACTACTGATCCCTTTCTCCAAGCGAATCTGCTTTTTGCAGCCTGGAGACAAACAACTTGCACGCTCCTACTTAGGGATAGAGAAGACCGGGAAAAAGGCAGAAGGTCTCTCTTGACTTCAAGTCCCAATAACTTGATGGACACCCTGGTTTATTTTTCTTGGCCACAGTGTACAAGGTTTGCCACCGTCTTCTTCTGGGAGGTCTTTGTAACTTCCCAGTCTGGCCTGCAGCCCTCGAGTCTTTGGTGGTCTCCCATCCCAGTACTACCCAGGTCTGACCCTTTCTTCAGATAAGCCAAAGCCAGCAAGGTGTGGACACAAACCCCATGTTGAGGTTAGGAGTGGATCCCCATCCAGAAAGGCTGTATGAGGATTAATGCATTCCAAAGTTTCCAAAATGACAAGGAGGTCAGAGGTTATTTACCTGCATCCTGGGCAGTGTTGCCGATCTTTGTTGCTTCCTCTGTAAAATTGAGTTTAAACATGTTTGCTGTCCGGGGGGTGATCTCTCGCTGTGCGCTCAGTACTCAGTTCCGCAATGGAGCCCAGTCCTGTTTCTCTGCTCCCAGATCTGTTGGGGTTTATATAACGGAGAACTCCTCCCAGATGGCACTCGGAGAAGCACGCCAAACTCTGTTTGGTAACTAGCTTCCAGCTGCAAAGGCAAAGCAGTGATGTTTGGAATTGCAGTGTTCCTTTTGGGAGGAAGAGGGTGTGGTTAGGCTTCAAAGAGAGGGAGAGAGAAGGAAAAGATCAAATATAGCTTTCCATAGCTGCGAAATGAAAATGGTTGTTGTCGGGAGTGTTGGCAAGGCAGACTATTTCCCTGGCTCTTCGAAAATATTTCCACTGGGAAGATTATGACTCAGGGGCTCTAAGGCCGCAATAGAATAACAGTGCCTTGCAACGTATGGAATGCGTGGGGGTAGGGGAGAGGCTCACAGCTGCCAAGAATTGTGAACTGTTCAGTTGGGCAAGGTTTCAACTTTAAGTCAACTTTGCAACCTTCTGATTACATGAAATGCAGCCCGGCAGGTAGGAGCATTTGGCCCTTGGCTTACAGGGCTGGAAGAGGAGGGGGGGAAAAAAGGAAGATTCATGAGTCAAGCCCTAGATAAAAGATCTGACAGACCATCTTTGAGTCTGGTAAGTCGCAAATTGCACAGACTGGCCCAAATTTCGGGTTCTAGTGAATGCTATGGGTTGGTTGACAATGTTCCCTTTGACAAGGTTTCTCAAAAGGGAAGAAAGCATATCTTGTTGATACATCATGGGGTTTGGAAGCAGAAGGTCTCACATGTCATCCTAGAAGCACCGGTTCTGCTACTGCAGATTTGGAAACCAGGTTAGCCTTTAAGTCTCTGGCAGATTGTGTCCTTCTTTGTGTATTGTGGTGTTGCTGAGGAGAAGATGCAAATGTTGGAGGAAGTGAGCAAATACAGAAGGAAGTGTCTTGTCCAGGGAAGACTGGAGCTCTTAGATGTTACTTCTGAGTTTTAACTATGAGGAAGTAACCTGAAATGGCTCCTATTGGGTTGTTTTCTGCAACCCCTTGACAGGTTCTTTGTCTAAGGTGTCTACAGTTGCATGAGAAGCTTTGATTGGAAACAGTGTTTTGCAGAGGCTCAGCAGAGCCAGGTTGGTTAGTACTTGGGTGGGAGACTGGTCCACCAAGGGATGCTAGGATTGAAGACTGGATTGGGAGGTGCAAAAGCCTTCATTTTAGCAGATGGTAATGACAAACCACTTCCACTTTGCTGCCAAGAAAGCTGTGTGGAGGTGTCATGCAGTCAATCGGTTCTTCAGAAGCAGCTCCTGATTGAGGCTCCTCAGTTGTGTAGATGGGATTGGCACGTTGGTAGGGAAAGTTGCCATCTGTGGGTCCACAAAGTCAACCGCAACCAAGCTGGAGTCAAGAGACCCTTCATTTCCTTCCCTGCCTTTGGTGCTGGTCCCATGCTGCAAACCCCAGCATACCCCCAAAGCCTGAAAACCCTGCCTATACCCTGGTTATCACTGACTTTCCTTGTTTTGGAGAAGTGTGGTTGCTGGTTATTTCTATGGGGTTCAAGGTTCTTTTGCTTGTTTGCTTCCTGGTTCTGAAAAAGAGAAAAGAAGAAAGAAGAGGGTCTCTTGGCTCCTTCAACAGAGCTTTGTTGTAGACTAAGCACTCCTGTAAACTGAATTTATCTATTTATTTAGTAGATTTATCTTCACCCATCTCCCCCTAATGGGGGACTCTGGGCGGCTCTGGGACTCTGAATGCAACAGGACTCAACTTGGCCTATTAATGTCTATACCTGTTACTCTGGATGGTGGCCAGCAGCAAAGACCAGGTGACAAACTGGAAGAAAAAGAAAATAGGACCCCTTTTCCATTTCAGACACAGGGCTGCAGGTAATTCCCAAAGCAGGGAATGGCATGGGAGTCCTGCAGAGGTGGTGATCGCTGACTTTCAGGGACGTCTCCCCCCACGCCCGTCCTTCACTGCAAACGCCCCAGCTGGCTTCCTTCCTTTTCCGTCAGCACCCAGTTTCAGAGCCAGGCACGTGTTCATGGGTGAGGCTGGGCAAAACAGATGGTTTCCAGGATAAAAGATTTTATATTTTGATCCACTGGTGACTTAAAATTGATTGCTTCAGTAGTGCTGCTCCCCTGTCCCTGTTTTGAATGCTTAAAAGTAAAAAAAATCTCTTTTCAAATTTTTAAAAGATGGAAGGAGAATCAAAATAAAAAGGTGAAGGATAAAGCAGGTGTAATGCCCCCAAATTCAAGAAGATATGCCTACTTTTAATAGGCTTATGATTTTGTGTGTTTTTTGGCTTTGATGCGAATCATGTTTGTTTTCGGTGGAAAGTCTTTTTACATTTGGTGGAAGATGAAATTTTTGATCGTGTAAGAAAAATACATAACAGGACTCCAAAGAAGGATAGAACTGAAGGCCTTTTGCTCTCAGAATAAAGTGATTTTTAAGGGTGTCAGGAAGTAAGTAAGGTGAGATATCTGTCCTATATTGACAGACAACATCAGATACTTCTCTTAGCCAACAGACTGGGCTGTAAACATTCCTCAGTTGCTAAACGGACCTCTTAATCCTTCCAATTTTATTTCTTCAAGCTGGAATCCCATCCATTACTCTTCAGGTTCTGATACCAAGTTACAGGATTTACCTGGGAAAAAAAAAAATAGAATAGGCTCCCTGAACTGCATGTAAATTGTATTCAACGCCTTTAGACAATATAATGCCATGCCCATCTACTCAGAATTGCATCCCATTAAATTCAGTGTAGATGGGCACAGCATTATAATTCCTAGGGAGCTGTTGGAGATTCTGGGAGCTGGAATTTAATACATCGGTCAGCTGCAATCGTTCTCAATCTGGGCAAACTGAAGTTGTGCAGACCAGCTCCCAGAATGCCATAGCCAGTACAGCCATTGCTGAGAATTCTGGGAGTGGAAGTCCACACACCTGAAGGTTGCCCAGGTAGGAGAACACTTGGCTAGAAGATAAGATTGCTGGAAGGTTTTTCTTCAGCTTTCTGCTTGTTACAGAATTTACTTCTCTTTCACAAACACAGTGCTTCGGTCCACAGCATACAATTGCTATGAGCGCATCTGGAAAAAATATAATCACTTGCCCATCTGCAAATTGCTATCTTACCTCTTGTTTACAGGGCTGATGTCATGAAATTGGCAGGCTTGGTCTTGCCACTTCTGCGATCTGAAAATAAATCCGTGTCTGCATACCTTCATACTTAACAAAAGTGGTTAAAACTGGCCCAGTCTGCACTCAGCATCACTAACCATGCATTATAAAAGAAAAATAAAGAAACAGGCAAGAAAGTGGGGAGCGTGAGCCTCCATCAGGCTTCAGGGACGGGATGTCTGTATTGACTGAGCGTTTGAGAGGTTAAGAGCCGTCCCGCTGGACTTGGAGGTCCCACTGCTGAACTGCAGTGCAGCAGAGCCTCTGAGACCTGGAAACGAGGGAGGGTTTTGGCCAGCCCAATTTCCTGGTGGAGTGACCACAGCAAAGAACGGGGCCAACATTTAGCCTGCTACACAAAACCAGAACAAAGCGTGGCCCAGATTTTAGAAAACGTAAGGAATGGAGGGTGGGGGTGGAAGTGGCTGCTGCCAAGAGAAATTAGACCGGGTTGAGGTGCAGTCAAGAAGAAGTGGGACACAGATGGGGAAACTGCTGGCACTGGGATGGGCAACTTTGCTCCAAGAGCTCCGCTTCCATCCTTGGGGTGCGGGTGGGCTCAATATCTTACAGTCCTTGCCAATCACTTAGGGCAACGGCACTGATGCTGTTCACGGTCTGTAAGCAGTGAAAACCGTGTTTTGTGAAACAAGCAAAAAAAAGCTCATAGAAGTGTATGAGGAGAAACCGTGCTTAAGATTAATTACCAGAATGGCTGTGCTTGTTTTAAAGCAGTGTTGTCCAAACTTGGCCACTTTAAGATGAGTGGACTTCAACTCCCAGAATTCCCCCGCCAGCCATGGTTGAAGTCCACTCATCTTAAAGTGGCCAAGTTTGGACAACACTGCTTTAAAGGAACTGGAGAGATGAAGCTTCCCTTGAATCAAGCCCAACTCCATATAGTTGCCTTAGCAATAACGCAGAAGTGGTTTGGCCCTTTTTTGACATCCCAGATTAGCCCATGGCTCTGGGATTTTCTGGAGGTCTCCCATGTGGACTTCAACCATGGCTGGCTGGGGAATTCTGGGAGTTGAAGTCCACTCATCTTAAAGTGGCCAAGTTTGGACAACACTGCTTTAAAGGAACTGGAGAGATGAAGCTTCCCTTGAATCAAGCCCAACTCCATATAGTCGCCTTAGCAATAACGCAGAAGTGGTTTGGCCCTTTTTTGACATCCCAGATTAGCCCATGGCTCTGGGATTTTCTGGAGGTCTCCCATCCAAGTATTAACCAGGCATGACCCTGCTTAGGTTTCTGACACCTGTCAAGGCCAGCATGGTACAGCTGTCCTGGAAGCCATAAACTGTTTGCAGCCTTAATATTTGAGGGATCTCTGCCTGAGTATTAAAATCTGCTGAGATCTTCTGCACTCTTTCTTTGGGAGGATACATGATGATGTGACCCTTCTGGGCTGTGACAGCCTGGTTGTGCCCTTCCCAAGAGGCTAACCCAGTGCCAAGACTGGGATCAGTCCAGGATCAAGCAAAGACTGTATTGGCCAAAATTTTGGGGTAACGCTGACCATTGCTTCTCTTCTTAGATGGTTTGTTTTGAGTGTTGCAGTGCAGTTTCCACTGCTTATATTCTGTGGTGATTCCTTGATCAAGAGTCTGTTCTAAATCCTCAGTCAATCAATTAATCAATGGGTGTGGAAAACCGAATGGAGAGCTTGGAAGAATCAAGATGATCCGGTCACCTTGTAGTTGTTTCTGTCCAGTTGTGGGAGGGAAGCAGGGGAATACAGGTCAAAACGGTACGGCCGGAAAGTTGGTTGGGACAAGTGGAAACTGCGGAGTGCTGTTTCAACAAGGAAGTCCCGGGGTGGAGACTTTTGTCAGATGGTTTGCTGCCAAATGGTGTTTTTGCAAGTGCTGCTCACTTACAGCCTCGGGCAATTAGAGATGCCACATTCATCTGGATTCATCCCGGGTCACTGCAGATGCTCTCAGCATTTCCTAGGCTGAAAGCATGAGAAAGGTCCATGCAGCAGGGATGGGGAGAAGTCTTTTTCAGGGACTTGAGTCACCTAGAACACCTAGAAGATAGGCAGGATATAAAGATTTAAACTGAGTAAAGGAGAGGGTTGGGCCATGCTTCAAAT